GGAATTTCTGATCTCCCGATGGGCTCGCAGATGCCCCAGGCACCCTACGAACTTTTGAGTCGACAGAGCATGGGCCTCAGGCTTCTAATAGCCGACAGCAAGATGTACTATCGCATGTGCCTCATACAAGTGCTCGATTCCTGCGGTTTGGGGCGGGGTTGGCGCTGCGTGTTCGGCACCACCCGCCCGAGGCTTCGGCACTCTACATTGTCGACACCTGCTCCCCGGAGGAGGCCCGGGTTCGTTGCCGCCGCCTCCCCCCCTTTCTGCCTGCCCCCCCCCCCACACCGCGGGCCTCCCACTTCTTCTTCATACTCCTTCGGATTCGTTGTTGGTTATCTCCTCTTACTACTCCTCCTCCAGTTGTCCTGGTAGTTTCCTGGCCCCCTGTTGAGCATCATTGCGAAGGCCTTACGGCCGGTGCCGCCGACCCTGAATGGCGACGACGACGACGACGACGACGACGACGACGACGACGACGACGACGAGCGCTCTTGGGGGCCTCTTGGGGGTAGTTTGTGGGCCTCTTGGGAAGCTCTTAGGGGCCGCTTGGAAGCCTCGTGGGGGCCTCTTGGGGCTTTCTGGGGGTCTCTTGGAGGGGGCCTGGGACGTCTTGGAGGCTTCTTGGACGGTCTTGGGGCTATCTTGGCCGTTTTCGGCCGTGGGCATTCGGACCTCATTTGGAGTGTTTTCGAGGTTTCTAGGCCGCCCGAGGAAAAACGAATCTGCCCCCCCCCCCCCACCCACCCCCCCCGGGACCCCCCCCGGGACCCCCCCCCCTGGGGAAGGGATCAAAGGGAAGGGGCTTCCCTTCGACTCGATTACGACACTGCTTGATTTTTCTCTCGCTCACGAGCTTGACAAGGAAGCTGCAGGGAAAGGGGACGACGGAGGCGACGACCGACGGAGATGACGACTCGAACAGCCAAGCCCCTCGCACACGCCGACAGGGTCGGCGGATTTAATCGCTTCGCTCATTCCGCCGGCCCTGGAGCGCTAGTTGGGGCCTCTTGGGGGCTTCTTGGGGGCTTCTGGGGAGCGTCTTGGGGCTCCTTGGCGGCGTATTGGGCTCCCCTGGGGCCTCTTGGGGGGCTCTTGGGAGCCCCTTGGGGCGGGAGGGGGGGTAGTCGTTGGCAGCCCCCCCTTCGGAGGCCACGATCCTCGCCTCCCCCCTGGGGATCGCCAGGGGGTCAGCCGGGGATCGGCCGGTGTATTTTTCGTCCGGGGCCCCCCAGGGGCCGCCCCGCGCGCGCGAATTGGAAATATTGTTGAGTAGTTACCGGGGATCTTAGCACGCCTCTGGCCCGTTGGGCCAGCGAATTCTCGTTGTCTATCTCCTCCCCCTCTCCCTCCCCCTCTGTTTCCTTCTCCCCCTCCTCGTTTTCGTACTTGGTTGACTCCTCTGTCTCCCTCCGTGCTTATGCGCCGAAGCACCTTCCGATCTCCGCCATATTGGGAACGCTTGGGGCTTAGTGGACCCTGGAAACTGCAGGGCGGTTCTTCATAGCTTTCCCAAAAAACTTCGTCTTCTTCATGACATCAGCGCCAAAACGGTTCGTCGAAACGGTAAGAAACGGTTCGCCGAAACGGCTAGGGCATTCGGGGATCCAACGGATGTTCGGAACCAGTTCGAAAACGGCTCGAATCCGGTAAGAACATAAGCGATCTGGACCAGGCCCCGAGCGGCGGCGCAGGAGACGTCAAAACGGCGCCGGAAACGCTCAACACATATTGGGAAATTCAGTTGAGCGACGGAAAAACAGCGGGTCGTTTGCGCCAACAATTGCGCGTAAGCTGCCCGCATAAGGTCGCGCGTAAGCGCCCTCGTCTTCAAGGTAGCGTGCCGCGCTGGCGGCCCGTGTAAGCGACCGCGTAAGGTCGCTACGTCATCTCGCATAAGATCCGTTCTTGATCGTCGTTTAGTTGGCAAGCGAAAGTGCCATTTCTTTCCAGGGTCGGCAGTTTTGAGGGCACGGGCCGGGTCCGGTAACAGCCTGAGCACCAAGAATGAGCCCCAGGCTTTCGCGCTTCCCGCAGGTTCTTAACCCATTCCCGTGCTGACGACCGCAGGCGTGCGCGAGGCATTCCCGCACGCACGTTCGCAGCACTGCCGCGACCCCGCTGCCCTGGCTGGCCGCTTCGGCCCGCTCACAGCGGAGGCACGTTGCCCGAGTTTCCCTGGATGCCCTCAGCCTGTCAGCTTTCCCGCGCAGCCCCGCAGCTGCTTGGTGAGTGGGCCGGCCGGCCTGCGGCGCTCCCAGTAGCCAATTAGGCCGTCACCGTGTCCCGGAACGCTTCTGACTCCGCCTGCGCCTTCGCCTGCGGACGCGACCGAAAAAAGTATCCCCACCAGCAGAATATTAGGCTGGCCCGTGCCCCGGACCCCCCTCCCGGCGACAGCTTTACGCGTCTGCCCGCGACCAAGAAAGTATCCCCACCAGCCCTGCCAACGCTCTCGCCCCGTCTCGGCACCAATTCGACCCTGACCGACGTCCTTCGGGCCACCCTGGTACTCACGCCGTTGTCCGGGGTTGCGTCCATGCATCAATTTCGGCTCCTGACCCGGGTCGTCGTGTGTCCCGACTTCCTGGTGCTTCCGACGCTATGCATGCTTGCACGTTGGCAGTGCGACTCAGTTGCAGCTGCCCCCCCACTCGCCGGTCCGCCGCTGAGCTGCTGCGTGAGGCCCCGGTTAGCCGCTGTAGGTGTGGCCACCCTCCGTTGTTTTTGTTTAATTCGTCGCTGAGTGCCCCGCTTTGACTGGACTCGCCGCCGGCGCGCTCGCTCGCGGTCGCTGACAAAAAAAAAGCATCCCCACCAGCCCATCCAGAAACGATGTCCAGGCGAGTTCAAGTGATCAGGGAAGTGCGGGAGCAAATATGGATAGGAAAAGGAGGAGGAGGAGGAGGAGGAGGAAGAGAAGGAGTAGGAGGAGGAAGGAGGAGCATGAGGAGGAGGGCAAGCAAAATGGCCAGAGGTCTCTTGGATGTCTCTAGGAGCTTCTTTGGTGTCCTCTTGAGACGTCTTGAGGGTCTCTTGGCGGTCCTGGGGGGCTCTTGGGCGTCTTGGGTGCCTCGGGGGGGGCCGCTTGGGGCCGCTTGGGGTCCTCTTGGGGTCCTCCTGGGGGCCTCTTGGGGGCCTCTTCGGGCCATCTTGTGGCTATCGTGGGGCCTCTTGGGGCCTCCTGGGCGCTTCTTGGAGGACATCGATCAAAAAAGGGGGCTCCCTTGATTAGCCTCGCCCCTCGGGAGCCCCCCAAGTCGCCTGTTTGAGCGTTCTTGGGGCGCTTTTGGAGCGCTCTTGGGCGCTCTTGGGGCCGTCTTGGGGCTCCCTTGGGCCCCTCTTAGGGCTCTCTTGGGCCATCTTGGAGCTATCTTAAGGCTTCGAATGGCCATCGGAAGCGAAGAGGCGAGAAAGCAAAACATATTGACATCCCCAAGGTTTTGAAGGGTGTTGGCCTCTTGGGGGCATCCTTGGGGAGCTCTTTTGGCATCTTGGAGCCGTCTTGGAGCAGTCTTGGGGCATCTTGGAGCATCTTGGGAGCCATCTCGAGGCATCTTGCGCTACCTTGAGCCATCTTGGAGCTCATCTTGGGCTCTCTGACGCCCTCTTGAGGCCATCTTGGGTCGTCTTGGACGCCCTGACCGCTCGCGGGGCGCCCCGTCCAGGTCCAGGGGAGGGGGTATGGGGGAGGGGTAAGCCCCTCCCCGAAATGGAAGAAGCACATCATAAAATCAGCGTGGCATAGATTCGCATTGCATTGCCTGGCCGGTTATGTCGTTTGATCGCGTAGCACAGCATCGCACCGAAAATGTCTTGATCGCGAGGAAGAGGTCGACTGACTCTTGATTAAGAGCGCTTCTCTTCACGAGTCAGGGGGGAGCTCCATGGTCAAGTGTATTGTGGGGGGAGAGCGTGCGCCAAGAAGGGGGAATGGAGAGCGTCCAGCATTCTCGGGCTTCGGAAATGGGCATTTTGATCTGAGCTGTCTTGCACTGAGGTACAGCAGTAGATCGGTTGGGCTCCAGGCTTGCTTGCATAGTTTTGTGGTCAACGACTGGCCTGATACAAGTATGTGCCTCAATTGCCGAGAGCGCAGTTGAAGCAGAGTTGGGTACTGCGTAGATTTCACTGGGTACCACGTAGATTACGAGAAATGCCAGGACGTAGGTTTGAGGGCGCGTGGCACAGCCAAATTTTTCGACGACGAGAATTGTCATGGTTCGGCCCCCCATTGGCTGGAGTGGTTCAGGTTTGGTCTGCGTTCCAATTCGGGCGAGGAAGCGGAGGGCAATGAGACTGCGGACGCGGCAAGCGAATCCTATCCTTGCCCACTGCGGCCAGTCCCCTCACGAGCCCTTGTTGATTCTTCCGCAGGAGCGGTTGGATTCTGCTGCTCACCCCGCCGGCGCCAGCTCTGACAGCCTCACCATGCTGGACCTGCACCGTTTGCTGCCGATGCGTAGCCGACTGGAGCCCTTCTGGGTCAGCACAGCCGCCCCGCGCACAGTGGCCACAGCAAATCGAGAAGTCGGCCTGCGCAGCAGGTGTTCCGCGGGCACTTCTCATCCCTCGATGGTCCCGGGGGCCCACAGAGGCCGTGGGGCAGCTCAGGACCCTCGAACATCGACGACGAGTTTGCCCCAAGCTTTCTGGCAGCAGTATCCAGTTGCGCTGCCGCGCGATTCCGCCACCGCGCTCGGGCGGGTGGGGTGGGGGGGGGTGCCCGTGGCGGGGGGTTCGGAGGGGGGAGGGGTCCCGGACCCCAGCTTCCCCAGGCTTCGCTTGTGGCATATTGTTCTTGCCCAGACGGCCAAGAACGCAGGGACTTGGCCACACAGGTGAATGCAGCTGGGGCTCGGGGCGTCGGGGCGCCTGGCTTACACTGCTTCGCCGAAGGCGACGGGGCCCGGCGCACACTCGTTTTCGCTGCACGTGCGGCGGCGGATCTCTCTCTCTCTCTCTCCTTCTCTGTGCGTGTACGTGTAAGCACTCTCCGCAGACGTCTGGGCCGCAGCCCCACGGCCCGGTGCCTCCCCGCGCGGCCCACTGCGGCTGCCGCCGGGGCGCGCGGAACGCGCAGCAATGGCCCTGCGGCCCGGGGCCTCGTCCTCGGGCCGCGCCCACAGGGACCACCGGAAGCACCTGAACTTTCACCACCACCAGCCCGGAAGAGCGCGAGCCGTCCAGCACAGGACCCACGAGGCTGCTTTCTGTAGGTCCGGCGATGGCCCGGCTTGTCGGGCCCACCCACCCCCCTCCCTCCTCCCCCCTATGGACCCCACCTCCGCCTCCCCCTCCTCCCATCCATCGGGAAACCAACGATGAAATGAGTATAAAAACTGGGAGGTCCGCGCGGATTCCTCGGATCGGCGCTGGAGTCCCCTGGCGGCGCCTCCGGCGCCGTCCCTGGCGCGCGGAGCGCGCCAGGAAAGGGGGTCAGCAGGTTGCCCATGATGTTGCTTCGATGTGGCCCAGGTTCCCCTAATCCAGCATGTTGCCCATGATGTTGCTTCGATGTGGCCCAGGTTCCCCTAATCCAGCATGTTGCCCATGATGTTTCTTCCATGTGGCCCAGGTTGTCGGGCCCGCCCGCCTTCGCCCCCCCCTCCCCCCGGATGACCTGACCTTGTCGGTTGTTCAGGTCCGGAGGGGGTACATTTAGGTCTGGCATTTCCCCCGACAGGCGGGTTTAGGAGGACATATAAACATCCCCCAAACATATTCAAAAATAGTCAAGAATACATCACCAATAGTTTTTTATATCAAAAACAAACCAATTTTCAATAGCCCTCCTTTAAAGGGACACGCCCGACTTAAGGGTACTCCGTGTTGGTGCGCGCGAGTGTACGTGGGGCTACCCAATGCATAAACAGGTTCGGTTGTTGTCGTCTGGCACGCCCACCAGTTCCTGCCCCTAGCGGGCTATTGCTGCTAGGCTTTGCTCCTTGCTCCTTGCACCCCCCTCACCGGATAACTTGGTTATCGCCGAAAAAAGGAAAACAAAACACTATCTTGTAGTCTGTGTTTTGAACTGTCTGTTGTTGAAAGTCTGTATTTTTTGACTCCCAGCTTCCAATCTACCTCAGGCGCCCTCCTACTTCAAGCGCCGAGCCGATCTCTACAGTCAACGCGCCTAGTAAGGACGTGCGCATTCCTTTGGGGTCCCCTTGTGTCCTTGCCTCTGCGGCCTGTCCTTTGCCGTTTTCATTGGGCGCCCTCCGCCCAGAACAAACATCCAACTTCGGCCTCCATAGGCCTCCATGGGCCTTGCGTCCTTGCCACCCGTCCTTCATACACGTTTTTTTTTCTGTACCTCCAGCGCCTTCCTTTCTCATCCCTCTTCCCACCTCTTCCGACGGGTGAGCAGCTTCCGGAACCCCGCTTGGGTCTCTTAGGGTCGGCGCCATCATCGTCAACAACAGCACGTTCATCATCATAATCATCATCCTGAAAGTGCGCCACTGGATTTCCCTGAATACACTAACGGGGGGGGGTCCAGAACCCCCCCCCCTCCCTCCCTTGAAGGGGGGATGGTCCGGACCCCCCCCCCCTCCCTCCCCCCCTTAGGGGGGGGGGTCCCGAACCCCCCCCCCCCCCTCTCCCTTGAAGGGGGGGGGTCGGACCCCCCCCTCCCCCTCTTGGCGCTGGAAAGGGGTGTTCGGACCCCCTCCCCTCCCCCCTTTGCGCCGGAAAGGGAGCCGGGGAAGGGGGGCCTCTCTCGCTTCTCTTTTCTGCGCCAGAGAAGGTGTGTAGGGAGTACGGAGTTGGGAGTAGGGAGTGGTGAGTAGTGAGTTAGTGCTTAGTGAGTAGTGAGTATTGGGTTGTGAGTAGTGGGTAGTGGGTGGCGAGTAGGGGGTAGGGAGTAGGAAGTGGGGAGTAGTGAGTAGTGAATAGTGAGTAGTGTGTATTGATAAGTGAGTAGTGAGTGGCGAGTAGTGAGTAGTGAGTAGCGAGTAGTGAGTAGTGAGTACTGAGTAGGGAGTAGGGAGTAATGAGTAGCGGGTAGTGAGTACTGGGTAGTGAGTAGTGGGTGGCGAGTAGTGCTTAGTGAGTTGTGAGTAGTGGGTTGTGCGTAGTGCGTAGTGAGTAGTGAGTAGTGAATAGTGAGTAGTGTGTAGTGAGTAGTGAGTAGTGAGTAGTGAGTAGTGAGTAGTGAGTAGCGACTAGTGAGTAGTGAGTAGTGAGTAGTGAGTACTGAGCAGAACGTAGTGCGTAGTGAGTAGTGAGTAGTGATGAGTAGAGAGTAGTGGGTAGTGGCAGTGGGTAGAGTGTAGTAGCTAGCGGGTAGCGAGCAGCGAGTAGTGAGTAGTGAGGAGCGCGTAGGGCGTAGTGAGTAGTGAGTAGAGAATAGTCAGTAGTCAGCAGTGGGTAGTGACTAGTGAGTAACGACTAAGGAGTAGCGAGTAGTGAGTAGTGAGTAGGGGGTAGGGAGTAGGAAGTAGTGAGCAGTGAGTAGTAAGAAGTATGTAGCGAGTAGTGGGTAGTGACTAGCGATTAGTGAGTAGTGAGTAGTGAGTAGTGGGTAGTGAGTACTGACTAGTGACTAGTGACCTGTGACTAGTGATTACAGACGATGTAGTGACTAGTGAGCCGGGACTAGTGAGTAGTGAATAGCGGTGACTGAGTAGTGAGTATTGAGTAGCGAGTATGGGAATAGCGAGTAGTAGCGAGTTGCGAGTAGTGGATAGTGAGTAGTGATTTGTGGGCAATGAGTAGTGAGTAGTGGATAGTGGGTAGTGGGTAATGAGTAGTGATTAGTGAGTTGTGAGTAGGGAGTAGTGAGTAGTGCTTAGTGAGTATTGAGTATTGAGTTGTGGGTAGTGAGGAGTGGGTAGTGAGGAGTGAGGAGGGAGGAGGGAGTGGTTAGTAGGGAGTAGTGAGTAGCGAGTAGTGGGTGGTGGGTAGTGAGTAGTGGATAGTGAGTAGTGAGTCGTAAGTAGTGAGTAGGGGGTAGTGAGAAGGGAGTAGCGAATAGCGAGTAGTCAATAGTGGGTAGTGAGTAATGAGTAGTGGGTACACTTTGGGGCTGGGGTTAGTTGTTGGGGTTAGGGTTAGGGGTTTGGGTTCGGGTGAGGACTAGGGGTAGGGTTGGCGGGGGTCGGGTTCCGGAGTCAGGGGTCGGCGTGGCGAGGGGGGGAGGGGTGGGGGGCGGCCAAAGAGGGGAGGGGGGGGGGTCGGACCCCCCTTCCCTCTTTTGAAAGGGGGGAGAGGGGGGGTCCCCGACGACGGATCGGGGAAAGGGGGGGAGGGGGGGGGGGACCGACGACGGACCGGGGAAGGAGGGAGGGGGGGGGGTTCCCCGACGACGGATCGGGACGGGGGGGGGAGGTCCCCCCCCCCCCCTGGGGAGATCCAGCGGCGCACCCTCCGTCACCACTATCAGCATCACCATCATCAACATCGTCACCATCATCAACATCATCATATAACTGCATGCTGAGTGTTTTTGATATCTGGAATGCCCAGCGCCGCAACAACTGCAGTTCAAGCTGAATCTGTGCGGCTCCATGCTCGATCTGGGCCTCTACCCCTCCGACACTCTGCGATACGGAGCTCAGGCCCTCGGAGCCTCCGTGCTGGCGCGCGCGGCGGCGCCCAGCTGCGGGGCCTGCGCGCTGCAGTTGACCTGCCCCGCTATCCCCGCGTGCGTCCGCGCGGGCGCAAGCGGCCAGGTGCCCGAGCCCTGCTGCTTCGGGCTCGTGGGCGCCCAGTCGGTCGCGAGCCTTCTCGCGGGCGCTGCGCTCGGCACCGCCTTGGGGCACGTGCTGGTCCATCGCAGCGCAGTCGTGGGCCAGGCTGTCGGGCCCTGTGCCGAGCTTCGACGAGACCGCGCGGGTGCAGGCCCAGGCGATCCGCGACAAGCTCGCTGACAGCAGGTAGCCATGCCGCATGCGCTTACCCTGTCGTTGGTCCGAGATCGGGTCGGCGGAGCCCAGATCTGGCATGAGCGGGTCGCGTTGCTGGCAATATGGTGTTGACAACCACGTCGTGCTGACACCCGACGGGGGCCGCTACCTCGAGAGCGCGGTGCCCGATGAAGATATACTCGGTCGCTTTGAGCTAGCACAGGCCAACGCAGATTTGTGCTATCGCAGGGCTTTGCGTTTCACGTTTGGTAGATCTTCGAACACCAATCCTGCTGACCTGTGCTATGTTGGTCCCGCGTGTCGCCTCCTGTCCCTCTTTGTCCTTCTCCTCCACCTCCTCCTCTTCCTCTCGACTGCGGCCATCAGCGTGGCTCCTGCTCCTCTTCCTCCTCCTCCTCCGCCTTCTCCCCCCCTCCCCCTTTTGACGCGGTTTCGGCGGAGCGGCTCACATAGCACGCGGTTCAGGGAAGCCCGCCTAACTTTTCGCCGGGGCGGCGCTGTGAGGGGCGAGGCTTCTCCAATACACCCCCTTTCTCTCTTTGTTCCCTCCCTTTGTTTGTTTCTCTCTCTCTCTCTCTCTTTCTCTCTTTCTCCATCCACTTGGCCGGCGGAGTCGAGAGGTTTTGCGCGAAACGCGACCAACATAGCACAAGTCAGGTTTGATAAACAGCGTTCTCGATCCAAACCATGGAACACATTCTTGATGGGTTAAACTCGCTTTCGCGATTTGTGCTATGTTCGCCGTGTTGTCTGTGAGCGACCGATTATATCGCTTGGGTGATGCTTCTGCAGGGCCAGGGCGACCGGGTCTACTGCTTCTGCTCACCGCCGACGGCGCAGGAGGTGCGGGACGACATTCGCGAGGGGGCCGCAGCGCTTGGCGTCGTCGTGCCGCTTGGCCCCGCGAGCCTCCCTTTGGCTGGTGGAAGCGCTGGGGGTCTCGCCCCTGGGCTGCTCGCGCTGGCCGGTCCTGGAGCCCCTGTGGTGACGGCGGCGCCTGCTGCTGGGCCCTTGGCGCCGCCCGCAGCCCCCGCGCCCGCCGCTGGCCTGCTGCCGCCCGCGGCCGCGCCTGGCGGAGTCGCTCTTCCAGGCTTGGTGGCCGCCTTGGCGGGGGCCGCTCCTGCTGCTGCCGCGGCGCCGCCCGCCGCTTTGGGCCGTCCGCCTGGAAGGGTGCCCGCCATGGCCGCGGCTGGCGCACCTGCGGGCCTCCCGCCCCTGCCGGCCGCGGCGGGCGCCGCAGGCGTCGCCGCTGGGGCTGGCGCTGCTGCTGTCGGGGCTGATGCTGCTGCCGGTGG